GATTATGGTGAGACATTTAGTCCAGTAGTTAAGTCAACTATTGTGAGATTAGTTCTTGCTTTGGCTACTCATTATGGTTGGCTGTTAAGACAATTATATGCGAAGAATGCTTTTCTTCACGGCGCTTTATAAGAAGTATACATGGCTCAACATTCAGGATTTTTAGATACTCAACATACTGACGATGTTTGTAAACTCCATAGTCTTTGTATGGTTTAAAACAATCCCCAATGGTATGGAATGATAGATTCACTAACTTTTTACCTTAATTGGGTTTTCATACAATTCGTACAACTTATGTTGATTCCTCTCTGTTTGTTAAACAAGTTGGTATTTTCACTGTGATTTTGATATTGTATGTTGATGATATAATTGTCACAGGCAATGTAACTGATGATATATATGATATCATTATGCTTTAACTACAGAGTTTGACACAAAAAATTTGGGACCATTACATTATTTTTCAAGTATTCAGGTTGTTCAGAAACAAGTGGCTTATTTCTATCACCTGACTAGTATGTAACTGACTTACTCACTAAATCTGAAATGCTACTGTCAAAACCTTGTGCCACTCATTGTTTACTTTACAACAGGTTATTAAAGGATGATGATAAACTTATTAACAACCCATAATTGTATAGAAGCCCAATAGGAGCCCTTCAATATCTTACTTTCACAAAACCTGACATTTGTTTTACAGTTCTTCAGGTATGTCAGTTTATGCATTGTCCAATGGAGTCACATTTCATAGCAGTAAAAAAAATTCTTAGATATTTGAAGCCAGCAAAAGGCTGTGGTATTCACTATGTTAAAGGAGAATTAGATTTGAGAGCATTTAGTGATGCAAATTGGGCAGGTAACTTGAATGATAGAAGGTCTACTACTGGCATGGTTTTATTTCTGAGTTCAAATCCTATTTCATGGTCCTCCAAGAAGTAGAAGACTGTCTTCAGGTCATCTGCTGAAGCAGAAGACTGTCTTCAGGTCAGCCGCTGAAGCAGAATATACGGCTCTCTCTATAGTTGCAGCTGAAATTGATTGGAACAAATAGTTGCTAGCTTTTCTTTAGGTTCCAGTTTCTGCCAAACCAACTATTTTATGTGACAATTTATCACCAATAACACTTACTTGCAATCCAGTTATGCACCAGAGAACTAAACATTGAAATTGATATCTAGTTTGTGAGAGAAATGGTTGACAAACAATTACTGCAAATTCAGTTTGTTTCATCTAATGGACAATTTGTTGACATTTTAACAAAAGGTCTCTCTGCTCCTTTGTTCCAGACTCATTGTGCTAATCTCAATTTCTTTGCTTCTGAGTTTGAGAGGGAATGTTATGAACGCCCAACATACACACCCCAACTCTAACAATTTATTGATTATAATAAAAAAAAAGGAATTGTTATAAAAAATGGTCTTCTGGAATTGTGTTTCAAAGGAAATGCAACCCCCCACCCTTTTCGAAAAAAGACTCTTTGTGAAGCCTATTATGTATTTTTAACGATGATCCGAATCTACTTTTAAGTCTTTGTTATAGATTGTTCTTGCAAAATATCAATTCATTCCAAAATCATTTACCTATTTGATTCTTATCTTTGGTATTAATCAAACTAAAAGTGTTTGAGACAACTAATTGTGAAGAAAAAACAATTGACAAAAAGTGGAGACTCTTTGGGAGGCCTAGTCCGCTTGAATTCGCTTACAACCATCTAAAGTGCATACATTTTAAGCCTCCATTCATAAATGATCTTTGCAACCAAAAAAAAAATTATTAATTCATTCCAAAATCATTTACCCATTTGATTCTTATCAAGAAATTTCAATGTTTCTTATAATTCTGTTTGTCAATTTCTTTGCTTACACTTAGATATCACAAAGATTTATGATTTGACTAATACTTTGTAAGATTGATCTATATGAACTGAAACTTGAAAAATACACAATATGTATTACGAGGGTCTGCAGCCATGTGACCCCGCTTCTTGCAATAATGGCAATCTTGGACATGTCTTGTTGGCCTGATGCACCAGCAGAGCTTCCAAATTGAAGATTCCGACCATAAGGTAGATGTTCAAGCATGTTCAGCCGCAAGAACTTGTTAAACTTCTGTGTGGGGTGTGCCCCACACATTGTCCGCATTTTTTTTTTTGTAAGGATCCTATCATTAAGCAATGTATTTATTAAGTGTGTGTGTAAAAACTTCTTTATCCCATTTTACCATAGCAAAAACTGGAGGGAGGGACAAGACCATTATATAGGTCCTCTTATTCACTATTTTTCTCAGAAAGACGAGGGTCATACGTATACAATAAGTACAAGGTTCATACAAGGTTCTATTGTACCATTTTCGTAATAGTGGTTTATGTTAATAATCCCAAACTGTCTATTTTTTAATTAGGTGCTCCGTTAAGGATGTTGCACATCAAAAACATAGACAAGCAATCAGAAATATCAACGTTGGATAAAATGGAAATACACCCAGATATTTGCAATTATTGTTTATATATGTATTCATTTGAATTAGGTACTCCTTTAAGAACTATCTGAAAACACATTTTTACTTCAAATAATGACGATTTTGACTTGAAATGGATGGAGACTATGTAGAAAGTTCTTTAAACCCTAGACTTGCCATTTGGGAAAAGAACACTGAGACTGAGAGATTGATAGTTGACCTAGTTGGCAAAAATCAAGAAATGCACTTTGAACTGCTTATACCGCGTCGAGTTTCCACATCAATGTCATTTACAATTTTGTTAACACTCACTGCACTCCAGTGGTGGAGCCAGTATGGGGTCATTGGTTGTCATTGACCCCAATAACTTTAAAAACTCTATGTATATTTACTTGTTTATTGTATTTGACCCCTACAAACAGTTAAAGCAAACTAAATTACGATCTCCTCGACCTATTTCTTCTATTTTCTTCTATCATATTTGTCTTAATTTTCTCTCTTCTTGTGTGAAATGTTTTAGTTGAAAAGCCTTGAAAGTCTTCAACATTACTCCACAATATCCTGCATCCACCCTCAACAAGCCTGGACAAGTAATAGTAGTTGTCTGACATATGTTGACATAAAATTTAGGCATGTGTTGGCAGGAACTAACAAGTGCCTATTAAATGCTCGACGAAATAACCCAATGAAGCTTTTTGTTTGATATTATGACCCCATTATTTGAAAATCTGGGCTACGCCACTGCTGCACTCTAAAGTCTTCGAAGGATTGGTGGCAAAGTTGACCATTGCGATCGATAAGAGAAAGGGTGTGTTAAGATAAGGAATGCACGGTAAGTAATAATCAGCAACGTTGGATTGGTGTTGAGGACTTTCTTATAGTTGGCTAGGTCTTTAATTCATGGGGTGCCATCAATGAGGAATATTCACTAATCCACCGTCCAAAAAGAACCTAGCACTTTGGAAAGACTAGTTGAGCTCTTTTTCCCATCAAATCAATAATAATAGAATCGCAACTCCTTTGAATTGACGGAATAGGTTTGATTTCACAAACCAAACTACTTCAAATCACACAAAGGCGCTTTGATTTGGTTCACAAATTTTAAAAATTCGGTCGTTCCCTATAAACTCTGTGTGGCTTGTTAAATTGTGATTGAATATGTTTGTATCTCTGTAGTGATATTTCTTTGAGAAGTCTCAAGTTGGAGTGCTAGGTTTGACTAGTTGGTTTCATCACAACATACAGTATGTTGGCAAATGACAGAATGCATCGAGTACTGCTAAACATGGAGGCATGAAAACTTGAGGATTACCGAGTACTGAACCCAAGTTAGGGCTCTACCATACAAAATTTAGGTCAATTAAATTTGTATTGTAGGGTCTTAGACCAATGAAATGTATTTTGCACAACTTCGTACGTCTTGGACAAAAGAATATACAGTTAAAAAGTTTATATAACATATTTAATAATCGACAGATTTCCAAAGCAGTGCTGCTGTTGCTTTCGATCGGGTCGGTATCACGGGAATTGAAAAGCTGCATTAGAGCTTAATTTCCATGTTCGCTAGACAGTCTAGACTTATAGTATTAGGGAATTAACTACATTGAGAAAAACCAAATAACGATGAAAATTTGAGAAAGATGAAGAACATAGAAAAATAAAGAAGAAAGAACGTGCTTTTCTGTATTGATTGAATGATTCTTGGTTACAACAGATAGCTCATAAGCTATTTATACAAAACAAACTACTAACAGACTAGTTTACGACTTCTAACTAACAACCTAATGCGCCAGATAATGTCACATGTCACTAAATCAAACACGGAAGAAGTTGAGGTTCCACCATAAAATCAATTGGCAGTATAGGGAGTAGCCCAATCTCTTATAAGTCTTTGCAATGTTTCTCTTCCATCGATGTGGGATTCATTCTCAACACACCCCCTCACGTGTGGCGAATATTTAAGCCTAACATGTGGACAATACAACAGGATGACGTGGAGCGTGTGTGGCCGTTTGACTTCACACGTGTGACAACCTGTTCTGATACCTTGAAGAAGTTGAGGTTTCATCATAAAACCAATTGGCAATATGAGGAGTAGCCCAACCTCTTTTAAAGCTTTTGCAAGATTTCTCCTCCCATCAATATTGGTTTCGTTCTCAACACGATCACATAGTGATATCACTTTATAATAGCTTCTGTACAAACAAACAATATCTCTCATCTTTGGTGACACATATCCTTTTATCTCCATTTATGTGTTGGCAATCTCAAGACAGCAAAGTATAACTATTAGTTTCGCTTGCTAATATTCGTTTCACAAGATAAAAAGACGAACAATGATAAATATCATTTAGTTTAATGACATTTAGGTTTTACTGAATCTCATGCATGATAATTGTTGAATAAAATAAAAAATGTACGTTGTATTACTGGATTCAAACCCCATATTTGATGTGAGGGTAGATCATCAACGGTGAAAGTTGAATTATGCAATGGAAACGCTAGAGTACCTAGCTAGCGTGTAAAACAAGAAAACCATATGTTGAAAATAAGAAAATTTTAATAAAAAGTAGCACTCTTACACAATCATACAAGACAATCTGAAATATGTAAAAACTCTAGCACACATGAAAGTACAGTATAATTCCCTGGAATCCAATTCCAGAGCCTACTTAATCACACCCGTATACAAGGCAATGCATAAGATCATAATATATAGTACTAATTATTGGCCAAGAGAGCTTCCGATTGCTTTTCGTAGCGGAAACCAAGTTTCTTGGAATCATCAGCTGACCAAACAAAGATTCCACCGAGTTTTCCCTCACTTCTGAGCCTCTGGCAGGCTTTAAAAAACCCGTTCTCCGGCGACAATCCGCCACTCCCATCACTGATAAAGCTTGCCAAGACCTGTCCGCCATTGTAATTGGAGCTCTGAGTGTTGAAATAGTTGATGAACTGAGACACCGTGGTGCTCTGATCGTAGGCATAAAATTGGAAATTGACGTAGTCAATCAAATGGCCATAGCTCTTCCACAAGGCCAAGTAGTGGCTCTGAACTTCATCGTCGTCAAATGGAGCAATAGAAGCAAATGAGATCACTCCATTGTTCTTTAGGGTTGTTATAAGCCTTCCAATGCACTCGGAAAATGTATCGGGGTCTGCTTGAAAGTGCTCATAATCAATGTCGATTCCGTCCAAGTTGTACTGCTGGATGATGCTTGTGAGTGAAGAAACAGCATTCGAAACCCACGAATCAATCGAGGAAGGGTTGAAGTAGGCAGAGCCACTATTGACACTATCTCCTCCTAAGCTCAAGGCAACTTTGACATTAGAATGTTGGTTTTTGATGGAGGAAACTTGGGAAGGGCTGAGGTTGTCAGAGTCCCAAAAGACATTGAATTTTCCGTTGGTGGGAGAGGAGCCTGAGGGGTCGTAGTCTATGGCAAAGGAGAGAATGAAGTGGAATTCTACATTAGGGTTTATGGGGACATCCGAAAACTTGACGTTGTCGAATTCGGCTCCTATGTATTCGCGAAAGAGATCAGAGTTTCCCGGGCCGGCTTGGATATGGGATGTGAGGAGGGCTTGAAGAAAGAAAAGGGTGATAACAAGCTTAAGCTTTAGAACTGCCATTGCTAACATTCAAGAGTAGTGCTAGAATATGTTTTTGTGTGTGGCTATGAGTCACGTTATGTGCCAGTTTTATAGTGCATTAGTTACTCAATGTGAATATGCTTTTGTGCATGCAGTGCCGTAGCAGTAGTTGTGTTTTTTGTGATGAGCTTTGTCTCGGCCGAATTGCACAAGACAAAATTGTGGCAATCATCTAGATTGTGTCTAATATCAAAATTTTATAATATTTCTGGCCCGGATAGACCACTAATAAGGCCCAAATTTGTTTGTTGAAATCCCAAAATATACAAAGTAAACTGTAACAAGGCCCAAAATTGTTAGATAAATGCCTAAATTTTACCTCATAGCTAGGTATATGTACTTACAAAATAGTTTACACATACTGTAACTCAATTGCTTAAAGTATTTCCCTCTTGCACCTGATATTTAGAGTTCGATTTCTACATCCTTTAATATCACTCGTAAAAAAATGGATTAATAAATGGTCAGATGCATTAGAAGTTCGCATGGTCAATGACAACGAGCTATATATCTTACATTAGGAATTGTTTGAAAACATTGACTACGATCTCGCTTTGTAAATTTTAAGTTGTCTCAAAGTCTTTTGAATTATTAATCTCACATTCAAACCTACCATTCATAGTTAAGTAACTTAAGTTCATCAAAACAGATTCAGTAGTCAGGAAAGTATAACTAATCATACTATCCCATATCTGTAAGTAAAGCTTGGTGTACTGGCATGTGGAGAAGAGAATAAAGGGATGCATGGCAGAAAGTGCACATGCATTGGCAGCCTTGCATATTTTTCATGCCTAAGCGCTTTACTTATACGTATACCAAGAGCATCTCTAGCCGTCACCCAATTGCAAGAGCAACTGGGTGGAACTGCCCTTGGCCCAAAAATATTTCCTCCAGAGGCAGAAAAAATTGGAGGCAATTACAAGGAAGGCAGGAGCCCTTATGGTTGTCCTGCCTCTTGAAGCCAAGGCTTACGCTTGGGATAAGGATTGTCTGCCCTCCCACTTTTGATGCCCTCTTGTTTTGTGTGGTCACGGTTAAGCCATGTCAACATTTTATATTATTTTTTTTATAGAGATAATAAGACAAAAATAAATAGTAATATAAAATGTTGACGTAGCTTAACCGTGACCACACAAACAGGAGGGCACGGGAGGGCACCGGAAGTGGGAGGGCAGACATCCTTGTCCTTACGCTATTGTGAAGCCTACCAGACAAGGGGGCCCACATGAAGCCCGGCAGAGTCAAACGGCTCAAATTTGGTGATGTTACATCTGTTGAATTTTCAACGGTCTGTTGATCATGACTGTTTTGATTTTCAACGGTTAAAAAATAAATAAAGTTTTGCAGCGCTACCACGTGGCACTTTGTGGAGCCTCTGATTTAAAAAATTGATAAATTCAATGGCCAGGACTAATCCAACTCTAAAAAATCTATAAAAAAATCATAAAAATTATTAAAATTTTTCAAAAAACTTATGAAGTTCACACTTAAAAAATCTTACAATTTCAAAACACTTGCAAATTAAACATTTAAAATTAAACAAAAATCTACGGCGATAATATATGTGGGGATAAGATGAAGAAAACATTAAAAAAATAAAAAATATATTTGTGAATGGTAATCGCCATCCCCTTTGCCTTTCCTCCTTCCAAACGAGTGGACTTGCATAAAAAATAATTACTTGTTAGAGTGAATAGTAAGGGCAATTTCATTGCCCTTTCTCTCCACTAATGGGTGGAGATGCTCTAAGTTGAGGTCACATATCCTATGTAAGCGGGTAGTGAGTGAAGAATATGAGTAACTGGAGAAAAAAAAGTAGGATGTGAGAAAGAGGAAGTGGATAAATTAAATTTATCATTGAACTCTATTATAGTTAGAATTATAGCAAATGTGTGATTGTGTAATTCTTAGTAGGTTGTATTTAGGATTCCTATGTGATCTAGAAAATCTTAGGCTTTCTTGTTACTTGTAGGGCAAGTAAGCCCATTAAGTTTACTACAAATATAGGTACAAGATGAGGGGAAAAGAGTCACACAAAATTCCACATGCCTCTTTTTTCTTTCTCTGTTGCACTAAGGATATGAAGGATATCTTGTACAAACCCATTCACCAAACCCATCACACAATCTAGGTTACCTTTAAAACACGGTTCAATTTTGATATTTTTTTCAACGCATGAAACATTAACCATGAAGCATGAGCCTAATTTAAGGCCTTTTGAATTATAGATTATGGTTAATTATTGTTCGCAATTATACTATTATTATTGTTATAATAGTGGTGAATTGGATATGTGGGAATAAGAGAAGAAAAAGAAAGGATTTTTCCAACCCTAATGTGTGCGAGCCGCAGCCTAAATCTGTCGCGCTACGCCGTGCTGCGTGAGCCAGTAGAAGAGCTTGAGAAAATGTCTTGTGTAACATCCCACATCGTCCAGGGGAGTGATCCTTAAATATATATTTTCATCTCTACCTATCACGAGGCCTTTTGGGAGCTCATTGGCTTTGGGTTCCGTAGGAACTCCAAAGTTAACCGAGAATGAGGCCAGAGCACTCCCAGGATGGATGACCCACTGGGAAGTTGCTCGTGAGTTCCCAAAAACAAAACCGTGAGGGAATGGTAAGCCCAAAGCGGACAATATTGTGCTACAGTGGTGGAACAGGCCCGAGATGTGACATCTTGTACATGAAATCAGAAATTTGAAATGAACGATCTTGGAAAAACTCGATATTAACTCGGCTTGGAACTTTAGCATTGTTTTGACAATGTTTTGGTAAACCACTCGAACTACACTCAAAAGGTGTTGCATCGCTTTAATGATGGTAGAGAGAAGCATTCAAATACTCATATGGTTGTCCAAACGCTAGATGCAAAACGAGACCCTTTCCTTCCTAACGATGATGATGAAGAGGTTTTGGAGCCTTGAGTTACATATCTAAGTGCAATCGATGCTTTACTGTACTTATCTCAGTGCACTAGCTTGGACATCTCCTTTGATGTTAATCTTTTGACAAGATATATTAACGCGCCGACACTAGAATGGTGTTAAAGTTTAACATTCTTTGCTACCTCAAAGGTACTACAGGTTTGGGCTTACTCTATCTTTATACATCTCAGAATAAATCATACCCCCTTGGTCTTCCGAATGTTTATCTTGTTGGTTATGCTGACTCATGTTATTTATTTGACCCGCCAAGGTACGTTCTCAAACGGGTTATGCCTTTACCATTAGAGACACCACAATATCTTGAAGATCAACTAAACAGACCTTAGTTGCAACTTCTTTGAACCATGCTAAAATTCTTGCTCTTCACGAGGCTACAAGTGAGTGTTTCTAGCTGAGAGCTGTTGTTGAGCATATTTGAAGCACTTGTAGACTTTCTCTTGTCGTTAATGTCCCAACAACGATTTATGAAGACAACACTGCTTGTATCAACCAGATAAAAAAATGATACATCAAAGGAGACAAAACCAAGCATATTTCGCCGAAGTTCTTTTTCTCACACTAGCAGCAAGAGTATTAGAAGATTGAAGTCAAACAATACTGATCTAAAGACAACCTTGCCTACCTATTCACGAAGTCAATATCGAAATTAACCTTCTAGAAGCTTTTTCAAGGAAGGTATATATATGTAAATTGTCTGATTAGCAATGCTTGTAGTTCTCTGTTGAAGTATACTCATTTGACCTTAATGTACCTTTTCAGCTACGATCAAGATAATTCTGTCTCATTCAATTTTTGTTGCCTGACGAGGTTTTGATGAGTTACCTACTCTAAGTCGATTATACCTTTGTGTGTGTTTTACATACTTCCTGAAGATGATAAGTTTTGACTTGTGGCATGTACTCACTTTTTTCCTTAGATTATGGGTTTTGTCCCACGTGGGTTTTACCATGTCAAGTGTTGTGAAGTTTACCTTATATGGATTTTCCTTTTGAGACTTGCATTCACTACTTGTGTTGATTAGACTAGACGACTTCATTAACTGCTTTGCCATCTTCCACGAAGATCTTATGCGATTTTTCCTTTAGTATTTATACACTTAAGTGAGAGTGTTGTAATTAAAATTATAGCGAGTGTGATTGTGTAAATTTTAGTAGATTGTATTTAGTATCCCTATGTGATCTAAAAGATCTTAAACTTTTTTAATACTTGTAAGGTAAGTAAGCACATTATTATATTTTCTATAAATAAAGATACAAGATGAGAAAAAAAAGACACGCAGATTTTCCCACACCTTTGTTTTCTCACTCTCTGCCGCTGCACCTCTCTCAGTCTCCTTCAATTAAAGTTAGGCCAACAACAACACATTTTTAATATTTAGTATAGATATAGATACACATAGGTGGGGATTAAATACCAATCTATCTTTCAACAAATTAGTTTTAATTTAGAGATTTTACAAATAAGCTTATATGAGATATTATTCCAGGACTTCCTCCGCATCGTATTTCAATAATTTGAATTGTCTACTTATACGTTATAAGTTTTTTTTTTCTTAAAGATCAATCATTATTGCCAAAAAGAAAAAAAGAAAAAAAAAACTATGCGAAACCATTTAACACCTCAATTAAATTATAATTATTTTTGAGTTTCATGCCGTGTTCGTTGATTTTTTTCTGTAGCAACTAGATCTTAAGCGTTAGCGGGTTTAGTTTGTCTAATTAATTAAAGTTTTGCTAATGTCTAATGAGAGAGAGAAGAACTAATTTATCTTCATCATACTAATGAATCAAAATGTCACGTGAAAGTGTGACATTGAATTTATTTAATATTATGCAAATTGCTCTCCAGGTCGGTGAATACTTAATTTATACTTTTAGCTCACCATAAAGTTAAAGCCATCTATATACATATAGGCTTCTATATGTTTCCCTCTTTAGTAATAATTAAATTAAATTTCTGGGTCTTGTTTTTGTGAAGGAGACTGTATGATGGGGTAACATACTAACATGGATGGTTACAACTTACAATGATGATATGTTGTGCTGTAAAAAAAAGCTTAGGCTCAGAATAATCATGAATGCTTTCTT